ATTGTCCACAGTCATTCTGCCAGTAAATCCTATCGACTTTATGGCAATATATCACTCTACTCATTTTGGAGTTCACAATGAATAGCATTTATTTGTACATAAATATATTTTAATATTATTTGTCGAGCCTGAAATATTACAGTGTTCCGGTACATGCTATGAGGCTACATCATTTTTTTTCGTTCCTTCAGTATATCATATCGATTTTATGTTCTTACGTTATTTCACGAATCGCTGGGTACTCAATGAAGACCATTTTTTTGAACATAACAATGTAATGTTATATATCGACCCTGAAATATTACGGTCATCAGGTATTTTTCGAGGCTTACAATTCGCAATTTTCAGCATATATTATGTAAATGTATCGTATATATGTGATAGACTTGTATCATTATACGCATCCCGGAGAACACAACGAACACAATGAACACAATTTTTTTGTACGTAAAAGTCGTTTAATATTATTCAATGTCCCTGAGATGTTAAGGTGCTCCGTTATGGTACGGAGCTTACATATAACGGTTCAAAACTTCCGACATTCATACTATAAATGTACCATATGTATCTGATGGTCTGGTATTATCCGACGCATATGGGCGATTACTACGAACACGATTCTTCGGACACAAATATCATCTAATATTATTTATCGACCCTGAAATATTGCGTTCCTGCGGTACGGTTCGAGACTTATAAATGACAATCAAAATTTTCGTTACTCTTTCCTTCAATATATTCTGTCAATTTAATGATCTGTCATAATTCTACGATTCACGGTGTTCACAATGAACTCTACTTTTTGTACATAAATATCATCTAATATTATTATCGACCCTGAAATATTACGGTCTCTCTGTACGTTATCGTGATTACATATGATCATTGAAAATTTTCGAAATTCACATTGTCAATATATTATATCGCGCTGATTTTCACATATTATTGTACGCTTCCCGGAAATCACAACGGAAAACATTATTTTAGTACATAAATGTCATCGAATATTATTTATTTATCCTGAAATATTACGGTCGTCCAGTATGGTACGTGGCTTACATGTGACCGATCGAAATTGTCGACATTCATTCTGTCAATATATCAAATCGACCTGATGGTCTCATGACCGATCGAAATTGTCGACATTCATTCTGTCAATATATCAAATCGACCTGATGGTCTCATACTATTCTACACATATCGGAGAAGAAAATAAACACGATTCTTTGGACATATATATCACCTAGTACTATCTATCGGACGCAAAATGTTACGGTACTCTGTTAAGGTTCGGCATACATTAGACTTCAAAATTTTCGGCATTCAATCTGTCAATATAGCATATTGATATGATGGTGTTATATCATTATACGCATCGTCTGGATCACAACGAACAACGTTTTTCTGTACATAAATGTTATCTAACATTATTCATATAGTGTGAGTTGATACGGAATTTCGTTATATCGAATGAGGTTCACATATGATCATTCAAATTCCACATTCGTTCTGTCAATAATTCTATTAGATATTATGATCTTGTGCTTTACTATGCATCATCTGGTTCACAATGAATTCAAGTTTTTTGTTTATAAATATCTTATAATGTTATTGATCAGACTTGAAATATTCCGGAGTTCCGTTTCGTGAAATGAAGTTTGCATCTGGTAAAGTTTTGTACATTCATTCTGTCAATATATCACATCGATTTTAAGGTTTTATATTATTCTACGCATCGCGGCAAAATGGCCACCATTCTTGTGTGCATAAATATCACCAAATATTATTTACTGCGCCTGAAATATTCCGTAGTTGCTGTACGTAGAATGAGGTGTACATATATCTATTCAAGGTTTTCGATATACATTCTGTCCTTATATCATATCGATGTTCTTGTTTTATATTATTGTACGCTTTGCAAGGTTCATAATGAACACCATGTTTTTGAATATAAATCATCTATTATTTATTCAGCCGGAAATTGAAAGGAGTA